CGTGGATTGATCGGAGTTATACATTAACACCATTAGATACCGGCTCAGTGGTCTGGAGGTTAGGATTCCGTGCTCGAGGCCTAATGTCCTGAGTTCAGATCTCACGTGCGGAATCGTGGATGGGCACTGCTGAGTTGTCTCATTCTAGGGGGAAACGGCCGTCCAGTGCTTCCAGGTTTTCAATAGTGGTCTAACACTGATCGATTCATAATTTCTTGTAAACAAACTACTCGTACTTTATGCTTTCCAATCAAAACTCCCGTCAGAGGTGTATACTTTTGTACTCTAAAACTAATTTCATCTGCGATAAGTTTGCTTGCAAGAAATAGAGTGAATAATGTTAACTCCGTATACAACAGTGACTGAGCTTAAATGTTTTGAACGACTAGATTCTACTTAATGAATATTTACGCGTTAACATCATGACCGGAATGTCTGGATTCTATTTGGAACAAAAATTCAAGCTACTACTTACCAAGAAGCTGCACAGTGATCGAATGATTGCAATAAGTTAATGTTTGTTGAATCACTATACTTCATCTATCACTATCAACAACATTAAGCAATATAAGAAAATCAGAACGATTTAAATTTATTTCGTTGGTTCTCCTTATCAGTCGTTTTGATTCAACTTTTACTTTGCCCATAATACGAAATTTTCTATGACCTTGACTTTTTGACTCATTGAAGTCAGCGTCATTTTATTTTACGTGCTTCACTTATCAGTCTCCCTATTGTTTGAGTTAATAATGAATACTGTTCATGATTAATATTATCATCTTGTAGAAGAGGTATTACTGAAACAGACGCTTTGTTTTATGCTTATTTTTGCGTGATGTCCATCTTCGATGAGTTTTATGAGGTACATGTGCATTTCATTATTACTGAGTCTTAGTAAAATTTATCTGATCCTTAAAAAAATAGTATATAACAATGACATTATTATAAACAAAAATATTCAGAACAATTACTAACTAATGGTTATTTATAGATTATTTATGTTCTTTCTAGATAATAATTCACATTTAAGACGAAAAACTTGATGTTGCATCTGCAAAATGTGCACATATGCATACTGTCATACGCATATCATTATATATATATATATATATATATATATATATATATATATATATATATATATATATATATATATATATATATATATATATATATATAACAAAGGCCAACTAGTTCCTATAATCACGATTTTGATCATTGAAAGATTCTTAGATAAGTTGCACCTGCCTTTCAAGGTATTTATGCAAAGAACTAAATGAAAAGTGTATGAAATGTTTTCTAGCTCATTCCAACCACAAAATTTGTGCATCTAAATATTATAACTTTACACAAAGAATAAGATTAGATTCACAAGAAAAAATACAGATAATTTTAATCATCAAAATGTCATTCTATTTGATTTCCTTATCAGGAATACTACACATTCAACTTGTAGCAATAAATTAGGTGAAAATAATACTATCTGTGCCCAATATTAATTTAACATTAATTTTTCCAGTCTTAATATGACTAGAGTTCGTTGCACCACAGTTCATTGATTACTAACATGAATATATCAGCATGTCTTCGAATGCTGACTTGCATTCCCAAATGAGTCTATATTAATGAGAAACAGATTCCATGCAATCACTTAGATGGAACCTAAATAATCCATAATGAGAATTGAAATCCTTCAGTTACAATGAAAATGCATTAGGAACTAAAATCAAATGATAAAATTTAATGTAAAACAAAATGCTCTTTTTCTTAAAACAACAAATTTGTTATTACAATCTTTTGAAATACTTTTTGGTTATTTTTCCGTCCCACAGAATCAAGCAAAAACATGTCTAGTGAATGAATGTACAAAATCTATATTAAGTCATCCTCGGATGATAATAGTAAAACATTTTTAATATTTTGATCATATATATATATCTGACATATACATAGCTTGCAGAAAATACAATCATATTATCTGATTTTGTAACATTCCTTCACAGAACATTTGGTTTGTTAACTGATGTTTTGTATTCAACCGACGGAGCATTTTGAAAAGAATGCAATATACTGAAATAATTATTACGCTCCATAAAAAATTTTCCCGACAATATTTCTCCGTTTTGTAATGCAAAACAAGTTTACACTTGTAAAGGGCGTAATCAACATTATTAGATTTCAATAAATATGAAGACTGGACTGTCTAGAATACTCAGTAATTCAAATCATTTCGTTGAAATAAATTTAAAAAAAGCAACGGCTTCAATAATTGGTTTGCTTAGTTCCCGTAAAATATGAAACAATGTGATCTTTGGAATCAGTCATGAGTGTGTAAGTCTGTCAATACTTAAAAAAATTGCGTCCGTGTATTTGTACTCAGTCGCAAGTTTAGTGATTTATTCATACAGGTGAGACTAATTTCTGAAAGACTTTTGAGCGATACTTAATTGACCTTGAGAATGTCGGTCAACTTACTAGGGTTATATGAGAGTTATGAATTAGTGTAAGGAATAAGAATTAGGATTTACAACTGGACGTTAGAGTTGGAAATTAGAAATACAGTTTTTATTACGAAATAAGATCAGCTATAATACCACAAACGCTGTTTAACCATATGGATGAATGAATTTCGTATGAAAATCCGGGACCTGCTCTCTTAAATTCGATTGGTCCGACCGAAAATTATAGTCTTATACTCAGTACATATCAACTAACAGAATTTACATAGCAATAACTTGGTACCGAGAATTTCAATTTATCAAACTGTAGTCTATAAGCTCAAGAGAAGGGAAATTACATTGATCAAATTCAAACAAATACATTAGATAGTGAGAAAATTAATTATTGAACTAAAGTATCGATAAATGACGTGGCTGTTTTCAATCTAAACACAATGATATAATCAAGTGTAGGGTTTTAGACTATTCATAGACCCAACTTCATTGTGTAACATTTACGTATATATTAACCGACTGAACAAAATGAGGTAAACTTGACAAGGTATGAACCTGTGAAATAACGAATGAAATATAAATTCCAAAACGGTTGAACCAACTCTCCACTAATGACATGGCCAGTAAATGCTTCATTCATTCGTCAAAATCTAAATACTTGGACTGCTAGTACTTCTTTTGTTAGGTTAGCCTATGTAATAATTTTAAATTATATTCGTTATGAACACTGTAAAAATCGATCGTTACTATTTGGTCTTTGATTGCATCATAAAACTTTATATTTATACTTAATCCTTTAAACGACTAACAATGTTAACCCATTAAGTTGTAATTATTAACAGAAGATAGGAAATATGAGACTGAATCTCAATTGTGCTTGAATTTTTGGTATCAGATTCGCCTTACATTACTCTCTTTTTCCCTCTCTGCATATATATATATATATAATTTTCCAAACCAAATCATTATCTTGTGGTCATAGTATTTTAAAAGGAAGCTAAGAACCACGTCAGTGGAATCCCATAGAAACCAGAAAATATTTTCGTTAAAAGTACTTCAAACAGTTCTTAACGTGCTATAAAATATGCGCAACTTGTGTAGAATTTTTATTACCATCAGTAGCATTATTTCATAATGAAATACTGAGAAATTTCATACTATAGTTTTGTTGTTTAGTGTATAAGATATGAACGTCAATACTTAATAACTTCACTAGTAGCATGACAGCCTAGCGATAAGTTTTGTGTTTACCATTTCTTGATTCCATGCACACAAAATTCATCGAAATTCAACAGAAACCATTTCTAGAGAAACGTTTTTGCAATGTTACTACAGTTCATCATTCATTTCAGTGACTTTTCGCATTTCATATTGAACTAATCATGTGAATCACTTGAATTTATTTTATTTAAATAATCGGCTCACATATTTTTTATCATAAAAGAATACCATATGGTTTTACTTTTGGTTAACAGCTCAAAACGTTTAGATGCATGAACCTCTGTCAGTGTAAGAACAACACACACTATCTAGATTTTTATTTTTACTCTACCTTATGAGTTTTTATAGGAAATTTGCACTAATGAAAACATGGCTTGTTTTAAAAACTTGCGCGTGTTGTGTAAGGTACTTAAAGGATTCACGAAAATCCTCTACATTATGATTGATTTTCTTATAGAATTATTTAGACTATATTGTCTCTGATGAACATTCTTTGCTTTGTACTTTATTTATCTAGTCTTAAGTGAAAAATATGAGTGTTACCCAGTAACTGCTCTCGTTTTTTGATGTCATTTCAGTACGTCAAAACAAACTTTAACGCTTCCAAATGTTATTTCGTCGATAAAATACGTATTTGTCAAGATAACTAATGAATTGTAACCAACTTTACGGCCGAAAAATGAAGTTCATCTGAACCAAACAATTATATAACGGCAGAAGAGTATGGTTAAATAAATATCATCAACAATGTAAGTTCAATGTACATGTTAGCATGAATAACTCATATCACTGTGTATTCCCTTGCAGAGGTATAGTATTTGAAAAAAACCTGAAACTCAAGTGTTCTCGAACTGTTAACGACTGTTTCAAACTGATTAAACAAGTATTCATCACATACATCATGCTATCTGTTGTAAAGTTTAAGCCTTCAACATTCACTAGAATTGAAGCAACTGAAAATCTTTAGTTACTTTCTATTATATTATATTTTAATAAAACACGTTTTTAAATCTAAGTAGTACCTGGTAATAAACTATTTTTGCTATTTTGGTAAGGAAAAATGCCTTACTGTAAATCTCATTCGTCAAACATACACACAAAAACTCAAAGTAACCAAAATGTTTGCAAGTTTACTACAATGTTTATGATTAATTATTCTTGTAGCTGATTTTATCGGGATGTAAAGTTATTAAAATATTTACACATACGTTTTAACTAAAAGGGTTAACTTTGTTAGAGGTAACTATGAGCTAAGGAGCACTACGAAAATCTGTGGTAGATTATAAAAAATGGTAATGTCAACGAAGAAAACTTTTGAGTACTTACTCTGTCTGATCGTTTTGAAATTCTATATATCCGACACTATCTTCGAAATCCTTTCCGCCTCCCTTAGCGGTACCTTCGACGGTCTGGTATGGCAATCGAACGATACCTCGGCAACCTATAGATATGAATAGAAGCACTTAGTAAGTTGATCTTGAAGTTAGAATATTTAGAATTTATTACTGATTATTGAAAACTGTTGGGATTGCTTTTATTTTTCGCTGCAGTTTCATCTCACAAGTTTGAAATCTATCTCGAACCACTGTATAAAAATTCACATGTAAGCATCCTTGTGGCTTGACAAAATCAATGTTATTCGTCGCTTAAAATAAGCGCAAAATGATAAGTTTCGTTATGCTTGAGGTGAATCGCTTTCACAACTACTGGTTGACTTTATTTTTGATAGGGGCAAACGAACGTATTTACACAGCAGTCTACAAGATTTGTAGCATGAAAGAAATGCTAAATTCCTTTGATCATTAAACCACAACAATCAGGTTCCAGTTTGTTCACAGCATAAAATGTTTATAGAATTCTGCAAACACTAGCAGAAACATCTAGCTAAGCTAAACCTTCCCCTAAAACATCAGTGTAATTCTGGAAGTCTTTAGCTATTTGTTAACTAAAAATTGCACTTGTACATGCTAAGTAAATAAATCTCAAGTACAGTGCAAATTGATCTTCCATAAACCTGTTTAAATCTAAAGGAACATGAAATCGTGAACTTAGATGATTGCAGCAAAATTGATTATTTAGTCTAAAGATATAAAATAACATTTGCAAGCCAATCTTCATAATTCTTATCATTAAATCCCTCTTTTGTAAAAATAAATGTTTTAAATCCGACATGTCCGAGGTTATAATACGCTATAAAAAAACTAGCACTGACATTTAAAATTTTTCTAACAAATAATCGTCCATCAGCAAACAACAATCAGAGTTGAAATAATAATAATAGAGATGTTTTGATTTTTACTGTTATCATAAGATGTTATCTAACTGAACTCAATATTTGGTGTCGTAACCCAAATTATTTCTTTAAGCATAGCTCGCTTTCTACGAACTTTATGTGTTGTAAATAATCATTTTAAAATTCTGAACTCGTCAAGCAAAAATAAGTTCAATCTAAGATATCTCAACAAAATATTTCTTACACTGCTTTATATTGATTAGGAGGCCTGAAAATGTATGATATAAATAAGTGTTCATTATACTCTGAAATAAAAATAAAACGTACCAGAAACACGCTGTACTTTGATCTCAGCGTATTCACAAGACTCACTAACGGTAAGATCAGCCACATCAAACTGAAAAACTCCAGAATGATCATCATCCAGAACCATAATAGTAGCAACCATGGGGTCAACCAGAACCGGCTCGATTTTGGTAGACGAATGTTTCACTTCGAGATTTCTCAAATGGACAGTAAAATGTTCGTCTTCCTCAAAAATATCGTCATCAATAATAGAAATCATGATTTGTTTGTGTGTTTCGCCAGCCGAAAACAACAGTAGACCTTTAACTGGTTCATAATCTTCTCCAGCAACTGCAGTTCCATCCAGAGTGAAGTACTCAACAGAGACGACGGCGTGCATATCGCCACCAACACGAGTAACTGTCACAGGAAACGTTCCAACGTTTTCCATTACGGTGTAGTGACCAGGATTAAAAAAGAACCTCTGAACGTGTGGAGGATATGTTTCTGTTGTTAGTCGGTTATCATCAAAAGACATTCGACGTTCAACTTTAGCTTTTTTGATGACATTTCCACTCCCTGTAAGTTGGCGTGTTGCCTGCATTCTGTAGTAAGCTCTGGACTTGGGACCCTTATTAAGCACTTCCATTTGGGCTAGTTCTTCCAATTCTTTCATTCCGATATTCGGATTTCGTTTCCTAATTTCTTTAATAGCTTCCACATAATCCATACGATGGCGATCGAATTCCGATTCGTCAACTAATAAGTCCCCATCAGCAGGAGCATATGTCACTTCTTCAGTGTGGTTGGTCAATTCTAAATCACCGTTTGCAGCTTTCATTAGGGCAGTTGCACGATATTTCTTCTTAAGAAACTTTTTAAAGAAAATTTTTGTATCGGCTAAGTATGCACAAATCACAATAACGGGAAAAAAGATAAACGTAAGCAGTGCCTCCCAAACTTCCACTACTCCAGGCGTAAAAACAGCTATAATGAGATACATCCAAAGATAAGCGAACAGACTCCACGACGATGTGATGAAAAAGACACTTAAATGTTTAATTCGACGTATCTGTCCATCAGGAACGACAACTATGCATACGCCGATTATGACAAACAAATTAAAGGCTGCAGAACCGACAATAGTGCCAGGACCCAAATCCCCAGCTTCAAAATTCTTCCCAATTATTTCAATAACAGATAATAAAATTTCGGGAGCAGAAGACCCCAAAGCCATCAAAGTTAGATTTGAAACAGTCTCGTTCCATATGCGGACGGATATCGTTTGAGTTTCCCCATTCTTCTTTCTCAAAGTCACTTCCTTTTCTTGCGAAGTGATTACTTCGATTGCAGCCATGAAACGATCGGCAATTATAGACACACCCAAAAATAAATACATAAGTGCTGAAAAGTAAACGATGGCCCTAGCAGCCTTGTCGCCGGCAGTTATGCCTGTGGATGGTCTCCACATAGGTACAATAATCCCATCATAGCAGAATGTTCTTTGACTAGATGGACAAGTTCCGTTAACCAATTTTTCAGCAGTCAAAGGCTTCGAAATTACTGAAAATACTATGAAGAAAAGAATGTATTTGAACATGATGTTTTGAACAGATAATAGTTCCGTAAAGAGTAATTATCAGTAACGGCGATGAAGCATAAACCTTGAGTAGGACCTAATGCCAAGTTTGTCCTTGTTTTTAAAAAGTAGCACGAATAAGTACAACTATACTGAGTAGTTATAACAAATCGTCTCAACTTATCAATCTACGTTAGACACAGCTTGGTAATAATAATATATGGAGAAGATATAAGCCAATTAAACGCTTCAATTTGCTTCGTATTCGCCAATTTAGAGCTTGATGGTGTAACGGCTACGTAGTGGTAAATAATTCTCTAAGGTAAAATACCTCAAAACGTACTTGAAAACTCAACGTCTCTAATGTTCTGTTGAATAAGAAACTGTTTTCTCCTTCAAAACTGACTATTTAGTATATTCGCATTGATAAAATGAAGCGTTTTGGGACCTTGGTATTCTTATGAGTCACCTACAATGCACATCCATTTTGATGGAGACTTTATAAGTTAGGATGAAGAGATAAAGCTTATGATTTGTTGGCGATGAACATCCACAACCTGCTCATAGTTACACAATCATGTATGTTCTAAATATCAAAAAGATAATCCTCACTTTATTAACCAAGTCGACAAACACTATGTATTCACGGATGAGCTCCAACGGATAAGAGAATATAGATGGATGGCATGACAAACATTGTCGTCAAATCCCAGAACATTTTATTTGCGCTAACCGTGACAACCCATACTGATGTCATGTTGAGGTTTTTGACAGTCTCACCTGTCTGACTCGGCTTCGTTGTGCATGATTCACAACCGCTAATGTTTGACGGAAAGTAGAAAAGTATGACTAACGACATTTTATATTAGTATTATCATTGCAGAAACTGTAATGGCGTACATAGGTATAGAATTACTTTTTACTTCTGTATGCCACTACCATATAACCTGAAATTATCTCCTAGTATACAAGTTGTTGCTTACAGAATAAATCTTTTTCCTTTCATATATTACAGTGAATGACCGGAGCAAACTAAAAGTGACATACTATATCCCCTCAGTATCGATGAATAATTGTCAGTTTGATTTACTGATCTCCGAATCACCTGACTGCGGTTACACTGGTTCCAGCTCCTGTGTCTACAATGGGGTCAGAACCTCATATTATATCCTCAACGTCGAAGAGCAGATTGATCACTGATACTGATTTTACGTTATTTTTACGTAGATAAAACCTTGAATAATTTGCCAATAACACACTTGATAATTCTTCTGTTTTGTTTAATGTGGCGCCTACAAAACTGTTTCCCATGAAGACAAATCAGCAAGTTAGTAACTAGGTCAGTGTGTTGGTATTGTGTTATGAGTTCACAGTTTAATCCGTCTAAAATCGGAACCTCATACAAATTATGACCTTGGAAGACACATGTAGTCCAAACTTTTCATTTGCACATTGGAGTGGTAGTGCTGCCAAGTATTTATGTACTATCTGATGAATTTATTGTTGTTAAAGAGTAATGATTAAAAGGGGCTATGTCCTAGGCAAATGTGTACGATTGATAGGTTTCCCTGGCGTGCCAAGAATCTCCATGGGCGTGCACAGAACACGTGAAGTCAGAAAGAGAAACAAAGAAGCAGCAAGGCACTTGAGTACAAACAACAATGCCTAAACGTCTATTGTGGAACAGACAAAGGTATGTTAAATCGTAAGATAAAACTCATACTAACTGCCCTCCATTGAATGATTTTGGCTAAAACCTTTAGATGAAAGAATACAGAAACAAGAACGATGAGTTGTGACGTTTAACAAAGTGAAAGGGGTTCAAACAAAAAGACAAAGTTGAAGTTTGATTCAGCAAAGACGTCCATTATAATCAAGATTGGATTAAGAGAGTAAAGTATTTAGAAACGCTAACAACTTTAGCCTCTTTTTCCAATGAATCTAATTATTATTCTCTTTTCATCAAATGCTGACTGATAGGTCATAACCTGAAAGCTATGGCTTAAACAACGTCTTAGTAGAACAGCGAAGTCAGCATAAGACTGGAACCATGAGTTTAAGTAACGAGAATGGGCGTATAATCTCAGTATACAGGCTGTTTGCGCCATCCTCGATCAAAAGGAGCGTTCTGATTCATCATCAATCCTTACTAGTAAGTAACTTTACTCTATCTTCTTTTGTGATGTTAGGCTATATTAAGGTGACTGGTAAATAAAATAGTATTCCGTATCCTCTTGAAAACTATTTTCACAAATACTACGTTAAAGCTGATCAGATAGTTATAAATTATGGACAATGGGTTAGACAACGTTGCAATACAAACAATATACGAACATTTACAAAAATACAACAGAGGACAAATGTCCATCACGTTAGGCGGAAAGGTGTAAGAACGTAATGGTCATAAATATGGTAATAGGTAACGAGATGAAATTAACAGTTATTCAGTAAACCTTATGCAGAAGCAGTAAATTGATGAGAAAATATACAAAAAGCAACCCAAAATAAGTTGGTATTGGTGTTGGTTTGTGCGATTTCAACTGGGTGATGGTCTACAAGCTGTATATATCCAAGATCACTAGTAATGTGTCAGCAAATTGTGAGGCTCACTCAATAACTTGCTAAAGTCATGATGAACGTTTCTTGAGATCGACTATATCTGAGCAGTATTGGTAGGTTCTGTGAGCTATCGCTCTCCTTCAAATGGGAATTAAAGTAGGACATGTCTCTCCATAGAAGAATCCAACACAACTTCAAAGAAAATGAGTATGCAAAACGAAACTTAGAGCCTTACGTAGTTTAGATGTATGGGGAGTGCAGTGTCGGTTACTATATCAAACCCACACCGCTTATTCCAGCTTCTAAATAGGAGGATTTATTCATTCTTCTTCAGTCAGGTTTTGACCTTGTTAATTATTCACTTATCAACGTCTATTTTATTTTATTTCTGTTTATCTTAATATATGAAATCTGCTTATGTTTGTGTTCATCATTATTACCGTTATTAATATCATTATTAGTTCCCCGACACATTAGATATTCTTTTTGTATCTTCTTATCCTTCTAAACATATTTAACTCCAGATTGTCCTTTAAAATCAATTTTGACTTTCATAACATCCATCTTAATTATTATTGCACAAATATTTATACTAATATCCGGTTTCACTCTGTATACTATTACATAAATCTAAATGTATTCATCCGAGTGCTTTAGAAGATTTTTATTTTATTTCTTCAATTGCTGGTTTCCTTGTGAGGTTAATATTCATTACACAATTATTATTCTTATCATGGATCAAACTTTTCACTAAGTGTTCACTTCTTTTCTCTCTTCTTTCCCTCTAAATAAATATTATTCTTAAGATTACGAAGTTTGTAATTAAGACAATAACTTGTGTTATACTTACATTAACTTCTCAGACCTGTTTTATCTTCACTATGCATATATGACTACTCATACATATTGATATTTCATTATCCTTTTCACTCAATTGAGACTTTCATCGCATCACTCCAAACTATAACTGCACAAACATTTATTCTAGCATCATATCTTACTGCAATTATAAGTTATTTTTTCTTAATTACTTTTGTTACTAATTTAACGATACGCACATAGTCGTTTATTCTTGTTCTGTGTTCATAAACACGCCTATTAGACTGTTTGCGTATTTCACGTCTCCTTTATTTCTATTCCCTTATTTTCCCCATTTCCTTCTTTAAACTCAATTCAATATTCTTCTCAATTGCACAGACCCGATTTATTATTATTAATATTCTACTATTATTGCTCTAAATGTTTTTTTTTAAATGGCAAGTATAATGCTGACATTATTGAAAATTGTGTATTATTGCATTTTTTGAAGAAACCCGAAATGGTTTCTTCACAACACTTATGTACCCATAAGATATTTGTGAATAATAATAATAATAATAACGTTGATTTCTGATATGGGCATTTATGTGTAAAGCTTATCCTACTTATCATATGTCTGTAGTTTATTTTTGTGTGTTATAACTTGTCAGTTGAACGCTACTTGTAATATCTGGTCGTCGCTGATTGGTATGTCGGAGACGCTTATCACTTCTACTCGAAACGAGGGACCTCCGCATTTCCCACGACGTGAAGTTAAGAACACAAAGATTAGTATATATGAATATTTATTAACCCCGAAACACGACGAAGACAGTCAGAAATACATTTGTTTATATATTGATTGTACACACAATATGATTAATAATTAGGATGAAATCACATTTATGAAAAATACTTAGGGTTATAACATGGTTCATGCCAGATGATTACAAGAATATCGTATATTATACAGAATAAAATGTCACACAAGAAAACAAAACAAATACTACATTGAGTAATCATCACATTGAATCGGAACGGAAGTAATGTTAAAAAGAACTCATAATTAGTAAATCAATCTAAAATTAACTTTTCCTTCCATTGTAAATATCGATTAGTGTTTGAATAAATCGAGTTGGCTCACACGCCTTCTTCACTGCACACCATCTAGCTTCGCTCTCATTACTTTGCTTTCTTCGCTTTGTTTCTTTTGACTGCCTGTTCAGACCTGTGAGAGTACAAAATATATGTATCCAAAAATCAAAACGGGACTCAAGAAAAATTAATAAATTGAACCGTCCGGAAGGTAGAATAAGTTATATGGGCTTAACTTAGTGGCCGACACTACTGTGGCTTATGATAGTGAGTAAGATGCAGAATTGTTCGCGCGTGCTCAGACCAGTGAGAACGAAGGTTTCATTAAAACGTTCTACAGACGCATGAAGTTCGTCTTTCTAAAGGAAGTCTATTCCACATTAGTGCATACTTCATGACGGGGATGTCTTTCTACGTTTCGTTTGGTATTTTTCGATCGTAGATGCTACCTCTGGATTGTCGTATATATACAGGCCCTGAGTAGGGAGCATATAATAAGTAGAATAGGTAAGTTTTTCAAGAAGCTTGCACTTGAAAATCGAACTGCACCTAATCTATCCATTCACCTAATTCAGTGGAAATTATGGGAAGCTTCGTGAAAATTTAGAGGGGTTCTTGAAGCCAATCAAAGTGTAAAAACCTTTTGTAAATACACAGATCAATGGATATTTGGTGAAATCTAATGTCCAATGG